TTAGTTTATTTGTTATGGGAGAGGGAGCAGAAGGAGTATTCAAAAGGAAAGGAGAATGAGCCTGGCTTTTTTGTCCTTACATGGAATCATTGCTCATTTGTATTGATTATTTTCATTTGCGCCTATTTCTTTATCATTTCTTCTTTTCTTCACGATACTCGAAAATTACAGGCCGTTTTAAAATTGGTCGAGTAGTCACAGGTCTAAACGAGTTATTGCAGATCTCTTGAAAAATTCATATAAGGTGGAAAGACGAACTTCTCGTTGATTACATCTAGTTGATGACATGAGTGTCATCTATCCTGGGTCAAGGGCAACTCTATGGAATTAGATTTATGAGAAGGTGCAGGAAGATAGTTTGCTGAGTTTTTGTGTTAAGCTGTTCAACCAAGACTTCATTTTTTAACAAGTTCAAGAATCAGGACTCCAGTTTTCAACAATTTCGACAGCACGAGGAATTAGGAACGGGTAACTTGAAATACGCAATATTTTCAATATCTTATTTTTTCTAGTGGGCAGGAAAAATCTCTGCAATCACTAATTTGAGTTGTTTAACCTATGCACTTCTTATAATGTGGACTGTTACTCAGGGAATAGCTAATTGAATAAATGCTGTATTGCTTTATGTTGTAAAACAGTTAGGTTGTAAAATCTTTGAAAAGTTTTTTTTCCTATTATAATTGCTGTCTTCCGCTTCATTGCCTAGTATCTCTTTCTGAACATTTTTTCTTTTAGTTGTATAATGGATAATGATCAGGAAGTTTCTGGCGAGGCAAGTTTGCTTGATCCAAGCAAATATTTGAAATTAAAGCCGAAAAAGTCCATTCTCAAGGTTTCTTTTTAAATGCCGGCTATTATAATGTGAAACATTAATATTTGGGACTCAAAAAATTCGTTTGGTCAGTTAAGAGGTGATTTTTTGTTTGTGGTTTTCCAAAATTATATTTCATGCAAAGCAGCCATCTGCGGAAGAAAGCAAGCGTATTGCTGAAGATCGAGCCCATTTCGATGAAATGAACATCATCGCAACACATCATCCGGCTGATAAAGATTATGGGTTTGTATTTTTCTATGTGTTGTCTGTATTGTATGTAAAACCTTGTGGATGGCATGTTTATGATTTTCAAGGAACATTTTATGCCTAAATATCCCGATAATACGTGGTCAATTCATTCGTTGAAAATACTTAAAAAATCGTACTTTGTTAATTAAATATTGGTTTAATTCTTTGTCTTTGTCTTTACTTCTTGTCTTTGTATTTTTTTCTAGTTTTTTTATTTGTCTTTTACAAAATCATTCTCAGAATATCGCCAAGACGAATAGTGTAATGGCAGGCCATGTGTATTACCAAAGAAGAAGGGTGCGAAATCTGCTTACTATTCTAAGCAGTGCTCATGTTCTAATTTTGTTCGCAGGATTTAATGATTATCAATAAAAAGAAATAGGCTATGCTGAACTTTTCAATTACATCTAAAGATCACTGCGAACCGCACAGTACCATTTGCTAGAGATTGTTACTTGATTTTAATATCTCTAACTTTAAATTTACTAACTCTAGTTCTTACCATTTGTATTTGAGTATTGGAAAATGCGCTTCTTTACTAGTACATTTTAAACGTTGTATCCCAAATTAAGGTTGCTTAGGGAGCTTTTGATTTATTCCGAGCATTTTTCGGTACATGTTTTAGGCATATGAAGATTCAAGAGCCGAAGACTCCATATCATGGATATAGCGATAGCGAAGACGATGGGGATAATCACGCTACAAGAGCACCACGCCGAGTTTCTTTAGTTGGGGCAGTTGATCCGGTAAAACTAACTAAGAGCATTGAAGCTGGCACATCAATTCCTCCAGCATACCTCGAAAAAAATATACCGGATGACGATAGCGAGATTGAGCTTACTCCTGAACAAATTGGTAAGTTATGTATTTTCCCATTCTTGGCAAAAATAAATGTATGCAAAAGTTACATTTTTGGTTAAATTCTTAGTCTTGCCCAATATCAGTTATGAGTGGCATAAAATTTACGGTGTTTAGAGAATTGAATACTTCTTTTATATTTAAATAAGATATTTAGCATTAGTTAAACGACAAACATCGATTTCACATCGCTAATTCAAGATTCCCGAATAATAGCATCTTTAAATTTTTGTCCAAGTTCTAGAAGTGTCAGCTAGAAATCGGTGTTCAAATTGTGTCATAGTTCTATAACAAGTGGTTATTATAAGAGGAAGATCTAAACTTCAATCATTTCGTTTCAAAATATCCTTCAAATAGAACCTTTGTTTTATTCTATTTGAAGGATATTTTGAAAGGAAATGATTGAAGTTTCTGTTCATGACTTTGTTTCTCTTTCAGCCCATAAGTGTGAATTTGAAAAGAAGAGAAAGATGCATTACAATGAAGGTGCCGCATTGTTGCGGGCAAAAGAATTGTTGGCAAAAAATGAAGAAAACATGGAGTAGATGTTATTTGAAAATCAATTGAATATTGACTTTTTTACATTAATTTTTATGAAAATATCCTTATGTAGTTGGCTGATGTTATTTGATTTTGATATTTGTATTTGTTAATTCATTTTCTAATTCGAGGTTTTGCTTTGAAGTTTCCGATCTCTTTTCGAGTGAATTTTAAATTCTAAGAAGCAGGATTTCGAAAAACTCGAAAGAGATCTAAACTAAAGATAAATATGTAAAAAAAATTCATGTTCTTTTTTTTTGTATTTGTTGACTCATTTGGTCAGGTTCTTGTACGTTTAGCAGATTTGTTATATGTAGTTTAATTTCCAGTCGTATATATTTTATATATACTAAAAATTTGGTTCTTTGTAGGCGTCTGTTCCAAATTTCTTATCTGTTTTATTGAGCGACTAAATCGACTGAAGTTGAGACCATGGTTTTTGTATACAGCCCATAATTAAAGCATGCTCGTTGTTGGAAAGAACTCATAAGTTTTTCAGGATAATTCCGTCCTTTTTTTTTTGCTTGGAATAAACAAACATTTGGTACATGCATGGTCGAAATTAGAGTATTTCATGGCCAAAAACAGGTAATTGCTACTTTTTACGAAATAGTACGCTCAATATATCCATTCTTTATGTGTATGATGAAGCATGTAAGCCGTTTCGGCGGCATTTTTTCCAAATTCCGTGGACTGTTTTTACACTTAAAAAAAAGTATGTCATGAATTCTTGAACTGCAGCATAAAGAATGAAAGTACTGCTAGTATTCAATGATAACACTTATCATGGAAAACATGTGGTGTTATAAAATTTCGCGAGACTTTGCTAAAATCACCTATCATTTTGATCACATTTCGAAGATGTTGCGATTCGTTCTCTTTTTATATGGGGCATCATGTTTTTCGACAATCAGTTTTATATATTAATTCGGTAAAAGAATTTTTAGTCAGTGAGGGTCATCCAATTACGGGCCTCTTCAAAATGGATTTTAAAATAGATTTAAAATATAGTGCGGGAATTTCGGCAAAAGTTCTCTTCAAATTCTATGAAAGCCTCGTTTCATGATGCAAGTTTGCTTATTGTCTTATCACTTCTATTAACGAAAATTCCTGACTACAATTTAGCAAAAGATTCTTTCTTAACAACAATTTATCCATTTTCTCTAAAGCAAAAATTTGGTGAGCCAACGGATCTCCCAGGCCTTCATTTATTTTGAAATCCGTTTATCGGTATTTCCACCCACTTTTTAAATACATTTTTCTTTAAAATAACCGTCTACCAACTCTTCCAGGTCGTTCTCATTTCTTTGTATGCATAATCAGTACTCAGCATTTCATAAAGTGGGTGCATTGCAACTCAAGATGACTACTACTTGCAATTTCGGTAATTCGGTCACCTTGGCGTTCAAATAACTTCATTAATAAGCAATACTTAATGACTTAAGTTAAAAATAACGAATACTTTCGTATAAAAACGGCCGCAAAAACAATGATTTATAAGCAAAATGAGAGCTGGCTTTTTGTGAGTGAGAAAAAAACAGGTGTGTCATCAGTATTATCGCATGATCGGCGAGCCAAATGGTTTCGCCTTTCTCGTGCATAAAAATGAGAATGCATATGCAAGCACCATCCTTAACATCGAAGTCCCGTGTGTTATATTCCTGCCAACAATTCCTTCCTTGCACAGCAGGAGCAATTTTTCATACGAAGTGATTATAAAGGCTTCCTCGAGATCAAAAATAAAAGACAATGCAATGTCCTAATGGTGTGTTTCAGGTCTGGAATGTTCATCAAGGAAGTTTCAAAAATTTCAAGAAGCAGACTTAGGACCGAAATATGTATTATAAACGGTATTATGCAATTTCGGCGTATGGTTCAGATTTCGATGATATGCTCACATAAACTACTTGACACGTTTAACTCAAAACATAAGATTTCGAGAGCCATCCAGGAAGAGAACGGAGGAAAGAAAATTCCCATTTAAATTTAGGATTTTAAGAATTCGTCCCGAAAATGTATAGTGAATTGTAGTTTTGTGAAATCGAGTGAATACAGAAAAAAATTTAATTGAAAATTAAGGAAATAAGAATAACTTGACTAAGATGATATGTGAATTGTAATTTTGTGAAATCAAGTGAATACAGAAGAAAATTTACTTGAGAACAAAATAAAAACAACTTGATTAAGACAGCTAATAATAGGTCATGAATTTATAGCTGCATTGGTGTACATCATAACACACATTATGTTAATTGATTCAGTATAGCACACATCTTTACAATGGAGCTAAGAAGCAAATGAAAGTCCTGCTTCTATAACACAAATCTTTAAAGATAGGCAAAAAAGCAAGAATTAACAGCTGTGGTAACCGGATCAATAAAGGACCCGAAATCCAATTTAAATAACAAAATGAGATGGTGCTGTTATAATTCATTCAAAGAGTCCGCAAAAAACAGCAAAACTTCATGAATCAAGAATTGAACAGTTTGAAGAGTACCGAAAGAAATCAATTCAGCAATAAATAATACAAAAATCCTCCTCAGTTTAGATGAAAACCTTTCTCATTAGTTGCTGTCAGAAGACGCTCACGCATAATCTCCGCAGAACTGTAATCTGGCAATTTTAAGTAGTGAACACAAGTATTCACGGATGGGTAACTACCATCTCCGCTATCAACTTTTCGGACAATTGTCAAACGTGGATGCAAATTTGCCAAACCACCTATAAATATGGAAAATATAATGAATGAAATAAATTTTGAAAAGAGAAAACCTATCGCTTTGATTATCAGAAAAGAAATCAAGTGTAAGGAAAGAAATGATATCCAATCACAAATAATGGTTACATTCATGCTTCATACTACGAACCTGGTGGTAATGAAGAACAGCCTGTTGTGAACTGCAAAAAGGATTTGCGTTCACTAGCATTCATTCCTACTAGAACATCAACAAAACGTAAGAAGCCAGGTGATTCCTTCGTATAGCCCAGTTTTGGCTCCGTGAAATTGATAATATCTTCACGAGTCCATTCTGGACATTGATCACCAGATAGCAAAGTCTGCAAACGAACAAATTTTTCAGTTTAAAATCCCGAAAAAATGAAACTTTGATTCCATTTTGGAAAAAAATGTGGTAGTTATCAACACAACCTGAAAAAACACTACCAAAGATATTAATACAGAAACGAAAAATTTGGAGTTGAAACCTGCCTGTAATTCTCTTGGAACAAACATCCTTAAATTTCGCAAAGGAAAAACAAGATCAAAACCAGCTCGGAATGCTTTAAACTGAAAATGGAACATACACATATTGGCAACGTATAAAACTATTCACCACTAATCATCAATATGAATGAAGCAGAACTATAAACATGCAGAAATTTTAACTAATCGAGTTACGAATTAGTTGATGAAAATATGCCTTCAAAATAGTGACAAATAAGGTAATTCCCTCATAATTGCAACGAAAGTTTATACCTGATTAAGAATACCAGAATTTAGATAGAAATTTGTGCATGCAGCAATATAAAGTTCAACGTTATTAGCAGTGACATCGATATTTGCACCATTTTCAATTAGTTCCATTTGCTTATAATTGAATACGGTTGACGATGGATTTACACTGAAATAGTTGAGCGCTCAGACCAGACCAAAATATATAGCCATCTCAATAGAAGAAATTTAACTTCATTTATAAGAAAAAATTTCATAAAGGTGTGCTCACCAAAAAGTTAGTGATAAGTCCTCAACTGTACATTCTGAACCATTAATATTTAATTTAAGTTGCTGGATTTGTCGCCGTCGAGTGTTTAAATCAAATCTGTGATCAGCTTCAATAGAACGTTTCTGCGCTACATATGCAGCTAGCTCTTTTAATATACGACCTGAATAATCGCCCCTTTAATATTGCTAAATTAAATGAGTACAGCAACAACTAACAGCTCTTTCATCATCGCTAGACAACAGTTTATTTATTAAACAATTTTCAAATCCATCACTCATGTTTACGGTTAAAATTTCTGGTAATCTCTTTCTTGAATCCTTTAAGAAAGAAACCAAAATCTCATTTTTTTTTTGTATTTATTCAAAAAAAGGAAAAAAATATTGCAGAACTGTTGGCATAACCAGAACACATGCTGAAAAACACCGACTATATCATCAATATAAAGCACGATTCATAGCTACAAAAACCACGTTGGAATAATAGACCATAAGTAGTTTATAAGCTTTCAAGTTCAACCGACCTTTGACTGGGAATACTTCTTCCAAATCATCCAAAGTAAGCACACCATTTAGATTAAGTGTCTCTTCTTCAGTTAACTAAATAAAATTACATCATGTAATCTACATCATAGAAAAATCAAATCCTCTATACGAACTTCTGGCATTAACTACTTCCAATATTCCAACAAACCTTCACCAAATTTGGAAATAGAAAAACAATTATGAAAATTTCCGAATGACATTATAACTTCATCTTGCTTGGATGAGCACAAAGAGTACCTGTGAATTAGTAATCATTTTTAAAAACGGTTGCGAGAGCGGTAAATCTACCAGACGACCATCCTGCAGTACTTTGGCTAGAAAAATACCGAAAATTCGAAATAATTTAGAAACACGTGAATTTTCTGCAGATGGCACTGGTAACGAAGCCGGAAAAAGTCCTCCAGCGCGACGAACATAATATCTATATATTAATACATAAAATACTTTCGCACCCAAATTAAAAAAACTCCCCAGCAAGCACAAGTGAGAAAGACGACTTTGCACATCAGCGATAATATGATAACATTTACCCCGATGGTTTCATACCCTCGCCAAGATCTAGCTCTTCTGTGCGATCAGTATCCGTATCATCACAAATCCACATTGCCAAATCTTTACGTTGAAATTCAGCAGCCATCTAAATTATGCAAACTGACTTTCCGCGATGCAAGAGATGACAAAAAAAAACAAAATTTAAAACAAACGTAAGATAAAGTTGTGGTACAAACCAAAGCATAAAACTCCAATGTAGGTCCCAAACCAGTTCCTTCTTCATCAATATACTCAACTTCCAGCACGGCTTTCCTAGAGGCATGAAACTCCAGTAATCGAACAGCATATTCGAATAATTGCTCATCATTACGAGGCACCTAGGATTAAATGTTTTGCAGGTAAAAAGAATGACACAGTAGAGTATTAAAAAAATTGTTTCGAATTTTTGAAGACAGATATTAAAGCCAGAAATCTCGTTTCTACAACTTCTGGAATCATTACCAGCAAAAGTCGATTTTTTTTGAAAAAATACCTTAATGCGTTCATGTTTAATTCGACCTATGCGGAACTCCGGATAATTATCATCTCTACGAGTTCCAGCAAGATTCGATACTGCTATAGCACTTGTCGCACCACGAGACTGTTCAAGCATCTGTTAATTACACATTAAAATATTCTGAATAATATGATCACTGTTTCACTATTTACTAGCTGATCAAGCACATCGCTGCAACTGTCAGAACAAGACACAGTAAAATGGAGAGCTGATCCTGACGCACCAATTAAGGCAATAAATTCCGTACCTGGTCGTGACGAGTTTGTAGCCATACAATCGAACGCGAAGTGCCAAATGCAGTAGCTCGAAAGTAATTATTCCTATAAAAAAATGAAATACGGCGGTGACAGCTATTAACTGCATCATAATGAAACCATGTTTTTATACCCTCCTTTTCCCCCATCTTTTGATTCCAAACTCCAATTCTTTAGTTCACAGTACCTTATCCATCATTGCAGAAAGAAGCACTGTGCACTGAGATAAATGAACACGTTTAGAAGAGAAAAAAAGACCTTTCAAAACAACATTGTGCTCAGAGTCAGAAATTTAGCCATTTTAACCAAAATTGGTTAACAAAAGTAGAAGAATAATACTAATCTGCGTCAGCAACTCCATGCGATATCGAAGAGGGAGCTAACCTTGTTTCAACATTAAATAAACATGGATATTTGAAAACGAGTTCATCACACCACGGCGGCAAAGCTCTTGCAGAAACAATCAACGGATCTGCCAGTTCTTGCATCAGCTTTTGAGTCAATTTTTCACTAACAAAAATATCTGTCATCATTTCATATTCCATTACACTTACGCCAATTTGATAGAGGTTTGAAAGAACTTCTAATGTCTGAAATTTGTGCGTAGAACTTGAACAATTAGCATTGAATTTAATTTCTCAATACTTTTATCCAGGTCATCTTTTGACCCAAAACTTTAAGACAAAGATTCAACACAACGAATCCCATCATTCTTCGCCAGATGCTATTTTTCAATCAAAAAAAAATCTGATGATAAACAAGGCCTGACTATAACGGAACAGTTGCCACAATTCGCAAACCAGAAATCCAAGTACAATAAGACAACTAGACTTACGTGAGCAACATTTTCTGGAATACTATTCATTTCTGCAATTTTTTTATTAACGGTTTGGGGAAGTTCATTATTATCACATGCATCTCCATAAACTAGTGTATATGTTGGTTCCCAAACACGCCGTGTTCTTTCATTTTTCTGCAATGTCAATTAAAGACCAAATCAATAACATCCGAATTTAAACACAACGATGAATCATCAAGTATTTTAACAATTCAATACTAGAGAGGCAAATGGATACAAAGCAAATGCAGTGCTCTGAATTTTCATTCATCAGATTCAGCAACTGTCGTATATATATAAACTAAACATATTGCTACAATATGGTATTATCAATGCATATTTAAAGGATATAAGTGAGCATTTATTTTATAGTATTACCTGTCCCCAATCAACGCTTTGAACAAGCTGATGGAGGTAGAAAAATATGGATCTATCATTATCATCCAATTCGACGGTAACATTATTGATGTTCGTTAAATTAGGCCCTTGAAGATATAGACGCAACTCTGGTTCCTGAAAAACAATGCCTGAAATATAAGTAATTGTAGAAAATTTCATCTTCTAAATCATACTTTCTCTTCCGAATGTAGCGTTGAACAAGCAGAAGGAAACATTGCTTCGCCCTGAGACTCAGTGATATCTTGTGGTAGTTCGACATCCTGGGTCTGTAACAACGATAATATTAATATTAATAACCGAATTATCAAAGGTATTCATATCATTACTAGACTTAACCACAGCGCTGTATTGATTGTAAAGTAAATCTTATGAAGTTTAATAAATGAATTATATAAAAAATCAACAATTATACAAAAATCAAAAAACCAACAACCTACATCTCGTAATGCACAGCAAATAAAGTGAAACATGACAATAAAAGATACCTGATTGACATTTGTTCTGCCTGGACGAGGATCGAAAGCAGGAATTAAAGCGGGGAGTTGGTGCTTCAGAACAAACTCATCATCCCAATTCCGACTGAGACCTCCTCTGCTCTGTTTGCTCTCATTTGGAGAAGTTGATACTCGTAAACCTCGATCACTTATCAATCTCCCAGCCTCCCCCATTACAATCTTTAAATAAAAAATAAAGCATTAACAATAAAGAGTTCATTAATACAAAGATTGAGAATTGAATTCAGATTCGGTTTCATTTCGAAACGCGTTCTATACTGACATCTTACATCCAACCAGTCAAGAAAAAAACTAAAATAAATTGACTGAATACAAAAAAGAATCTTGCCTGCTTCCAGTTAAGCTTTAACTCTCCACTGGATCCAATACTTCCTCCATTAGACTGCCTACGAAGAGCAGCTGCTGCTTGTGCGAGTGCCTCCACAGATAAACCATTCGCATACTCCTCATCACAATCATCTTCATTACCTTCATCTTGCATTTCCTCGTCATATATGTCATCCTGAAGTGAATGCAAACAACAAGTGAAATGATTCAAACTGTTACGCAAACGTGGGTACGAAATCTCCATAGCAATAAATTTCAATCCTTAATTTCAACTACTAAAAAAAGTAAATTTCAATCCTTAATTTCAACTACTAAAAAAAGTACATTTTTTTGATTCATTTGATAAACATCCTCCCTTGTTGTCTATCTAGTCCATCTCAGTGAATACAAAAAAATTCTTTCCAATATCGAAAATATATGACACCGTTTATTGAAATGTAATGCTTATAATCGACTGTGTTTGTTGCTTTTTTTTTTTTTTTTTTTTTAAATAGACGGAATACATTGAATGCAGACCTCAATTTCTTCTAACTCGAGACCATTCAATGAACCACTAGAATCAAGGATTTGCTGCATGACAACAGTGCGTAAAACATCTGCGTAACTACCTAAACGAGAACGAAAACTGCCTCCACTGCTTTGCATACTACGTCGTGAGCCTAAAATGCAGGTATTTATCTATATTAAATATGCAAAAAAATTTTTAACATTATAAACAGTCAAAACTTTCCCTATAAATAGCTCTGAATACATGTCTATTCATATTTTACTAACATATAGAGGCACTTTGCCATGATAAAATACAAAAATCATAATAAATATAATAAAATATCAAAATAAAATAACAAACAAATTAAAAAGAAAGAAGCAGAAAAGTTTATAAACCTATAAGGAAAGAATGTGTTCTTTATTCTCGTTTATCAAGAACTTTAAGAATGACAAAAATACATACAAGCAGCAGACTGTGTCCCAGAAGCTGGCCGGTAACCCGTTCCAAACGAAGGTTTACCAGGTGCCCTTTGGGGACCACCTGATTGATTTGATCCAATTGCTTCCACCGATGCATCAACTCTATCGGAAATATCTTCTTCTAAATAATCATATATAACTAACCACTAGCAAACACGACATATTAGCAGAAGTAGCAGGACTACAAAATTATTTCAATCCGAAAATTCCTACGAAATGATACTTGTTGCGTTTTTCTCTGATACTCAGAACAAAGCTATTGAAAGATACCTGACTTTAAAATAAGCTAAAACAAAGAAACACGGACCTGAAAACTGCCTTCTCGAACAGGAATTTAAAGATGCTCTGCGATCAGCTGAATAAAAAACTGTGCTACCAGCACTCGATACTTCATCTGCCGCTGCTTCATGAAGATTATTTTCTTCAGCTGAAAGCCACAGCGTAGAAACAAAATAACAATCCAAAAAAGACAGCGAATTCATCTTTTTTTTTCTTTCGCACATAAACATTAAATTAAGTAGCACGCTAATTCACCACCGCCATTTCAAACTATTTTTTCATGTAATCTCACTAACGTTATAAGGACCAAGATCTCAAAAGAATTGCTAATGCGCAAAACAAAAGTTCTAATATATATAACCAATACTTATGATTCTCCGTTCGGCATTAAATGACTGCAACATCATAGGCACCAATGAGATTTTCACAGGCTCCAAGGGAAATGTATTTTCTTGCATCCCTGAGCGACTTCCTTCCCTTTGTTTCCACTCATTTCCTAGTCTGCTTTCGCTCGATTCGCCATCGATAAACAGATCAAAATTAAGACGATTTTTCGAAATACTATGCTTGAATATCTTACAATTATTTTTTTTAATTAATTCCTACAAAAGCTATACTTCGATTTTACTCTAAAAACATCAACAATAGCACAGTGATTTTAAAGAGAAATAATTACCAGCAATTGATGTGATAGTGTCGATGCGATCACTGGCTTCACTATTTATATCAGCGTTTTTGCGAATAACTTCATGAGTCAGTGCTGCAAACGATTCGTCCGTTATTCGTCCATTCCCTTCATCGATTAAATATCGCTGAGTAGAGTCACGTATTGCTATAATAAATCATGCATTTTTATACCATTACACTTTTCTTTAAGAGATAGAAGAGTCTTTTGTTCTCTTGGAACATTTTTATCATCTGGATGACTGAATCAAAATGTATTGAGCTCCCATAAAAGACAGGATAATAGAATTAAAACTGCAAGTTGAAGACTTCAGTTGCAAGCACGCTCATGCACTCACTAATAAAGGATGAGTAATATGCAAAAACACAGCATGTTTTAAGAATAACCATGTTTTATCTGTGCATAAAATGTGACCCGTTACACTTTTCAAGTGCCCAGGACAGAAACACTATTAAATAGTCAAAACGAAAAATAGCAGAAGTAAATCGAAAGATGCTTCGAAGAAAGCCTACCATTATCACCATCATTTATCAGAGCTAAACCGCTTCCTGCAAACGCAAATCGACGTAAACTACGAAGCCGCGACGGATCGTTGGCCAAATCTTGCAGAATATTCCTCACCAGATCATCACCACCGGGCACGAATATTTGCTCAGTGTTTGACATCGCTCCCGACTGTTGAAGTTGTCGCAAAACAACCAAATTTGGAACGCTAACACTCAAACTAAATATGGTGAAATAGAACAAACGATGAACATAATATTGTAAATGAAACTTCAAGCTATGATACATTTTTCAGTATAAAATCAGATGCGCAAGAAGTCAAGGACTCCTAGCAAAAGCTTTCATTAAAACTACAAACACTGTGTTGTATTTCCATTATGCATTTGTCGTTATTTATGCAGCATACGAAAACAAAGAAAAGCAACTTACTTGGCTAAATTTCGAGCATTCGCCTCCTCCAACGACGTTGTATTACTTTTGCCTACCAGAGCTATATCATTTTGTACAGTGGATTTAATCGAATCTTGAGGATATGAATATGTATCACGTTGCTTGATTATTTGCATTTCTCCAAAGGTGTCATGATCTTGATCAAGTAACACAGGCTGAGAACCACCAGAGCATGTGCTTCAAATCTTTAATTCAACAAACGACGAAGGAAAGTATCGCCTTGAAATATGGTGAAAAATAAGAGCTACAGTTAACACTATTCTCATGTGAACTTTCTTTAGAGTTGATTTTTCAAATCATACCTCGTTTTCAGAGAAACATTAACATCATGTGTCTGTTCTACAATTGCGACTGCACCATCAAAACTTTCAATGCTGGTATCCAAGCCAGCATAATTATTTGTAGAAACGCTTTCTTGATCAGTATCGACAGCTGTTAAAGAGCCTGAAGTTATGGTGAAACAAAAAGTTTTATAAACAAATTAATAAAGCAAATATATATTTATCAACAAACAACGAAGATGAAATGTGAAAGCCCGTTACAAATACGTTGCATTTACTATAGAGAACATAAACACCGTAAGAACGGTGAAGAAAAGCCTCCTCTGAAAAGCAAGCTATTAGGTAATTGTCGAACTATATTGGTATTTGTAGTCTTTTTCGAAATAATTTGAATCTTATATAGTTGCATCAATAATAACAGTAACCGATGTATTCCGCTTCTTATTAAGCCAACATTTGTTACATGTTTACAGCACGGAAGAGAACAGAGAAAAAAATTAATCCTGAGACTAAATTTCACAGATAAGGAAGGAGATATGAGAAGATGATACAGGATGCAAACTTACTGCAAAATAAAGCGTACAGAAAATGCATGCTTTATTTTGTTAGCAAGTCAAAGATAGAAATAATGAAACAGGTAGTTATTCCAAAAGTATGTAGGGAAGCGATTGTTATCCTTTGAAGAAATGTAAACTTCTACCAGTTGTAAGCTGACTCTCAATTGCAGGTATATCATCCGAGACAACTTCTGGAATATGGTCATCGAATATTTTTGAACGTGCCAATAAATTTTCTAAAGATGGTGTCTGATGCTGTAAAGATTCGGCACTCGCCGCCTGATTTGTTGATGCTACCGATGCTCGCTTCGTTGCCTCAGATCCCTGAAATAGTAGCGCAAAATTTTCGAGTGATATAGGTTCGGCGTTTATAATGTCTACTAATGACCATTTTGAAATTGTAAAGATAAAAACATATTTCGGAAGATTATAGCATGAAGTCGAACTAAACTTCAGTGATATTGCTGCGCCAGTAAAAAGTAAATTTAGAGAGTGCTATTCAATCAGTTTTGCGTAAATTAAATAAATTAAACTTTTACATCAAACAAATTTGTTGTTGACATCGATTTTTGTGCAATTGTTGAAGATAGCTGATTTGTAGTGATAATCTTAGTATCAGGACTGCCTGCAAATATGCCAACTTCGCTTGAATTATTGGACACAGCTTTGCAAAAGACACCATTTGAAGACATAAAAGACTCAAAGTGATTTCTTAACAAACTGTCTTAGACTTACTTTCCCCTTCTTCTGCATTGATTTCTGATTTCTGTGAATTTGAACAGACCAAAACATTAGCGCAATCTTTTGTACGGTGTTCTTGTGAACCACATTGAAGACAAGAGTCGGATATGTTCCGATCAAAACCTCAAAATAAACAGTGATAACAATTTCGAACATATCATGTTCCATTTCGCAAAAACATGAATCAGAACATAAAAAAGTTATTTTTTCGGAAAATTTCTATAAAACCGCGCACTGACCACAGTTTGACGGTTTCTGAAAGCGGTTTATCTAAAATGTGCCCAGAGCTTAAACAACTTTATCAGCAGATAATATAATAAACAGAAAAATAAAACACCACCTATTCCGGCACTGTTACGTGAACTGACACTTTGATAATATCGAGAAAAAGGCGCACCGCCAGGCTTTACTTTTCGTAATGTTTCTGTGGGACTATAATCTACAAATCCCCGAGGAACTGGAGGAAGCTGCCTTCTGAAAATAGAATCAAAGTATGAGGGTTCCAAATAAAAAAAGACTTGTGTAAGTGTAATGTATTTAATTTTGAATTTAAGTTCATGGTATAAAGGGGTATAAAAATAATTCATGGTATAAGGTATAAAAATGGTTCATGGTATAAAAATAAAAAAAATAATTCATGGTATAAGAAGTAAGTACTAAAAGGGGAACTTCCTCACACGAATCCAGGAGGGACTTGACCAGTACCAGTGGAAGACAATGTTGCTGCAGCATGGCTCTCCCGTCGTGCACCAACTCGGAAGCCTCGACGTAAACTCTAAAATTTTCCTTTCGGAAGATAGAATTATGCAATTGAAGAAAATGATTTAATAAAAATATTTTAAAATGCGAAATTTACCGGTGTCCATTCAAAAGATTTCAGTTCAATGTCATATTTTCCGTCCGCGCCAAAGCGATAAGAATTTGATGTACAATCATCCCACTGAACATCAACCCAACCTAAATATTGTAATTCACTCTTCGTTCTGGAAATGATTAGCCAAGGCCAAATCAAATTTACCATTATCAATGAGGGATATGACCGTGCCTTCCATATTACTCCCTTGATCATCCCATTTCCAATCCGGGCCTCGAACTACACGGCTGCCCACCGGACACGCCATTGCATCAGGTACGTTAGCTATACGCACCCCACGTCCGGCCATATTTGCTGCCAGTAAACGCGAACCACGCCGATAGCGAAATGTCCTAGAACTCCAATAAACACATCTTAAAGCAAATATGAGACAGCTTTACTCAAATACGATTGAAACGACAACCTAAGCTATATCTTTCATTTGATCCTTTTATTGAAATCATTAAAAACAATAAAAAGGTAATTTAATAGTTCACAAAGTAATTCTGCTGAGACTATAAAGAAAAGCCACATGGATACCTCTTTTGGAAACTCCTAACATAGTAGCTACTCCAAGATGCAATTTATCAAACCTGTTCTTCATCGCATTTGTCGCGCTGAACATCGAGTCAGATCCAATAATACCACTTACAACTTTGTTGTTAGTTTGGCCTCCAGGTAAATGTGCAACTCTGGAATCACTAAGTAAGGCCGCCAAACGCACGTCGGTATTTGTTGAAACGAGCAGTCCTTTATTGAGAAAGCTCTCTTTCGCTGATACTTCCTTAGTATTAGCGATACATTTCTTGGATCGCTTGCTGTTCATGCTTGGTTTTTCATCCAGCATTTTAAAATCATCTATCTGAAGAAAATATTTTTGCAATCACAGAAATAAGAAAGTATGGTGCATCATGCATCCATTCACACAACTTTGAAGCACATTAATAAATACCACTTCTCTTCCTTCCTTAAAAAGGAGCGATGGCTGCGAACTGCGAACTGCGAGCTGTCTATAATGAAGGTGGAGACCTTCATTATAGACAACACAGCAAAAAAATCATTTCAAAACTTAAATTCTTACCACGACATCAACAACATCACCATATATTTCAAAACCCGATAGCGACAAATAATGATTCTGATTACTAGCATTCTTGCCATTTTGTGCAATGCGGATATATCGATAAGGATCTTAAACAGCAGTTTATGATAACTTCTATTTATATTACAGTAAACATGGATTTCGATAACTCGTTAACGCAATAAAAATAAATCTATTAAAATGACAAGCACTAACTCTTATATTATACATAAACACACCTTTCCCCTCTGAACAAACAATTGGCCATGTTGCTGTGGAACCTGGATAATTCAAAGAGGTATCGTTTTCATGTACCACGAGTACATCCCATATTCGACCGTTATTAGAACCCTATAAAAACACAGTGCACAAAGTTTCTTTTAAATATTTGTTCACGGACAAAAAACTCCAATTTTTATATTCAAAAGGACAAATCCAGTCAAATTAACTTATTCCGGAACTTTTACTACTTAGTTCTTCGACTGGGATCTCTTGATTTTCGAAAGCGTAATATAAACCTGCAAAAGCCAATTGCGAAGGGCAGATCGTCCATAACCACGAGCATGGCGAAGGGTATAAGTATTTGGATAAAAATAAACACCAAGATCAATCGTAAAATGAGCGTTTCTATAAATGGATCGATTATAAAACTCATTGTAAATCATAAAATATAAGTCCCATTTTCTCTTTCATAAGAAACTCACTTGTCGTCAGAGGTATGACAATTGAGGGCTTCACGACTTAGAATGTCTTCATGCTGACCGTACGGCAAGCGTTCACCATCAGAGCTTGTCACAAAAACAACATGAACGCTTGCTGGATTCGTCCATTCAGCTACTGTTTTTCCGTTCGTTCCCAACCAGTAAATTATGCCTGAAGGGACTGTCAGTAAAAAAAGCCTTAGTCACGGTATAAGTCTAGAGAAAAACATACTGTGAAAATACAGAACATTTTTAGTCTAAGTACCAACGCCACTACTATGACTACTGCTAACTTAAACGGCGGATAGTTTAAAATGGAACGATGTAAAGTCACCAACATAGGCATAAATCAAAAAAGACATAAATCAAAGTACTCAAAAACCTCTGTCATCGAAGTCACTTGTGTAAGTAAACGAAATTTTTGTTCCACGTTTTTTCGCGTCCCTTATTTCTTCAACAAAGTGAAAGGTTTCACGTCCTCGATCATACCACTGTTTAGCAACCATTCGCAAAATATAACACTTCAACTGCTTCACTGTACTTAGAGGTTCTGCTTTCATTGTTCTACCCGATCTAAAATTTAATAAAGCCGAAATAGTTGAAATATCTTACAGATGCTGTCTATGCTCGCTGCACGAATTTTGAGCGATCTCTGATAGGATTCTTCAAATTCACAAAATATTTAAAATGAACTTATTTAAAGATACTCGAACTTAGTTTGAAACCATATTCCATAAAGACTTCCTTAAAATTATAATTTAACCATAACTCTAGTTTAATGTGCGTATTCCTTTACTAGCAGTAAGAAAAAATTACCGATTTAACAACTGCATCTGAGACGGTGTATTCGGATTAAACTGTTCCAATTTCAATTTTATACGACGATTAAGTAATTGCAAACCGAACGATGAACCACCGGGAGTGTCATATAGATATTGCGGAAATTTTTCTATGGCATCTAGAACCGACACCATTTTACATACAAGGGCAGACAGTGAACGCTGGTCTACGAAAACCTAAAAAGAAATTTTTGGTTGAAAAAGGCATATTGAACCAAATCAATTGACAAATGAATAACAAAGATATACAAAAAGAGAAAAGTTATGAAATAGTGTATTATTTAAAAAACGAAAATAAATGAATATATTGACCCTTCGGAAAATGACTGCTATTTCACAATCTGTGTTCCGCTGTACAAATTTCAGAAACGCCAATAAAGCGTTAACAATTCCAGATATTGATAACTCAAAAGTTGACAGCAGACGATCGTTAATAACAGAAGAATGAATACATTTCAGAGCCATCTCTAGTTCCGAAAGCATATGTTCTGGCAGCCGACTAATTTTTCGCTGGCAAATTTCCTTAAATAAAATCAAGCGATTCGATGAAACTAATTAGCGGAAAACCTGAACGAATCTTTTTTTTTAACAGAAAAGTATTTCGAACTTCATGATTGGAAGGCATCTGAGCATCACTTACACGAACCTTGATTGTAGATGATGCTTTTTGCAATTCAACCAAAGCTTCTCGCGGCTTTGATTGAGCTTCTTTCAAATAGTTGTCCCAAATTTCTTTTGCCATTTCCTGTAGTTTTGCTTTTTGAGTCTCCGCGCGGAAGCGCAAACGTCGCCCTCCACCTCGTGCAGCCCACCCAGTAACAAAGTCCAAACCTGGAAATATACAGAGCATCTAGTAACAAAAATGAACTCATTTATTTTTTGTACAGGTGAACCTTCAAATAAATGGAAAACAAGACATTTCACGGTTCAAAAAATATGTCCAAACAAACCAAGAGTCCTCTCTGCTTGAAAACAATGTCGTGTTTGGCGATTTGACTCGAAAATGAAACCTGGCAAATCCTCCACAATGATCAAACGCTGTTGGTTCCCATCACGATTCGTTATAGTCAGTTCATTAACTTTTGGCGAAGCCAAGATCCAACTGCCAATTTCAATCTAAATATACATAACACTAAGGTGGTAAAAATACAAATCTCATTTTAGTCCAAACTTGTTATAAGCCCGACATTTCGAAAATGCTTTCCGGTCCCACATTACGAGCAAATTCATAACAAACTGATATGTCGCGCAAATTGGTTTAAATGAAAACAAATACCATCTTAATGCTATCCGGAACGCTAAATATCGAATGAAGTAAGCTGCCTGGCGGCACAGCATTCCGAGCTTTTGTGAGCTTATCCAAAAACTCACCACGTGTTTCAGCGTTGTCAGAACCAGCCTCTGGGCTCCCACTGCTAGAAACACATGATCAAACAAAAGTTGAAATAACAGAGAAAAATAATAAGACGATAAGAATTCAAGACAAATATAATACCTATACATAGTGCTAAGTTGACCATCCAACATGAAGCGGAACCAGCCATTACTACCATCGCTGAAAACTGGTAAAACTGAATGGAGGGAATGCGATAAATTTCCAACTGAAGGTAATATCTGATTGTGAAATTTCTGAATTCATAATACCAAACTATTTCTACATCAAAAAAAACCTGAATTCCACCGCCACAGCATCGCACCAAATAAAAAAGGAATCTCGACTTTTGATCATCCTCCAATCTTTCCATCGATAGCTCTTGCCCTGTACAATTTCCCATTGATCATCTATCGCCGACGAAAGATCAGTGCCGATATTATATTTGCAAGTTACTATAAAAATAACTCTATATTCCACGAAAGAAAGCAATGAATATTTGTACATCTGCAGAGTTTTGTAAGATGGTACTCTCCAAGAAACAGCAAATAATGGCGAAGTCAAAAAAGATATATGCTTCAATAGCACTTTTTGCTCAAAATCCTTTTAACTTACAAATTTCGCCATAAATTAGTGTTAGATATAGCAGCTAATAGAAATACCAACCCGGTGTGACGGTCTCAGATGCTTCCACGGTAGATGAAGTTACAAAATTTATACTTTCTAATGGAGTTACCGATGTATTGTGTGAATCATCATCCTGGAAACAAAATCTATAGTTACGAGAGCATTATCGAATGAAGCTAAAAAACCCTTGAACACAAAATACTAGTGGCAGAACAAAGGGGAACAACAAGTGAGATCCCATATGTCTCAATAATGAATTTTTCAAAAAAATATTTAACTTACGTGGACAGGAACGTTGACCATCGTATGATCATTTTTTTCTTTAATTGATGATATAACTGTTGAAGACGTTGTATTTTCACCATTGAAGCTCTTTGAAGAATTCGTTGTCAAATGCTGTCTATTTTTTACGTCAGAACTTTCGCCTGCAACTATTTATTGGTGATAAGTCGCTATTTGCACGGTCCAATAATAAAAATGCGTATTTGTTTGCCTACCAGAAATATAAGTTATAATCAACTGAACCTTGTGAAACTTCATCTACTTTCACAAACATGTTATCCATAACTGCAACAGGTAAAGAGTTTGATGTGTGACCACTCTCATCAATGACCATTGTTGTCACAGCACCACCTTTAACTGGTGTCACTGGTTGATTGGCAATAGCTTCCACTTTTTCAAAAATTCCAACGCGCACTAACTGCTCTAACCAAAAGTCGGTATTTTTCATGAACAAAGACTTGATAATCTGTAACATTTAATTGCGCTATAATCCATTTATTCAAACAATACGTACATTGCCCTACTCGCAACCGAATGAATGCCCGTTTGTTTTATCAAGAGTGAGCATCTTACTGTTCAGAATAATTGCTTTTTTTAATGGCGTCGAACAGAATAGTCTTAAATTGAATGGTCTTGCACTTTCATATTTAACTTGCTACTCATTGTTTATAAACAAAAAAAATTATGTAATTTAAGAGATTATTTCGATACCGGTTAAGAGTATTCATTTGTACAACTTCTGTGATTAAATACATACTTGTAACACATTTTCATGCGATTCCGTGTCGTCCTCATGTTCCAAACCTATCATCAGAACGCTAACAAGATTTTCAGCAAGCCGTTGCCCACGAGAAAAGCAGATATCATTAGAAATATCGATTCCGCTGCTGTCATTCGTAACCATCCATTCCATCGACTCAGCTGATATATGGTGGACAGTTTTACAAAGAAGCGACAAACTGGATCTATGTACACTAGCACCAAGTGAACGCTGTAAGTTATTGGTAAATTTGTGGTTTATAACATAAAATTGCTATTAATGACATGCTAAGAAACTACGATCTTAATTCAAGATATAGAAAAATCTTGGAGTAGAATCAAACTTGAGATTTCACTTGTTTCACTGATATCCAGAATAAATACGGTTAATGATCCTGACTACTGAATGATGGAGAATGATATGCCAGATTTCACATTTAAGTAATTGGTGGAAGTTTTTGCAAATCGCAAGTTTTTTTAAAGGATCAACAGTGATTATAGTGGAATACTTTCCAAAACAACCACTAATAGAAATGAGAAACACATGTAAACCAACCAGTGAAGTCTCGAGGCGGTAATTTACACAGTGAAAGAAACAACTATCTTACCTGATAAACATCGCATAAAACTGGTAAAAGCTGTTCCAATAATTGACGCACTATCGCGTGATCAATTTTTTCACTTGATGTTTCTCTTGCAACATCAGTTTTTCCCTTCATTATCTTTTCTAAACCAAAAGTTCAAAGTATTATTTGAATTCTGTATTTGCTGACTGTTCAAGTATAAAGTTAAACGCTTATATTAATTCTCTACATGCTTAAATTATTTCTTAATACTATAAGGTAAAAGTGTATTTTTAATACCGTGTACATAGTAAAGATATCCAGATATATGACAACAAATAACAACTGATAAGACAATCAGTTATCGAAACTATCAACAGTGGAAGTTGATCAGAGAGACTGATTTTTTTGAAAAGATTTATTGAAGGACCTAATTGCATGATGGAATAATTTGACCTCACCTTCATTAACTCCCTGCATATAAGCGCTTGGACTTTCCAGAATATTCGCCACTATCTGATGCTCCTCCTCACTTCTTTCGTGTGCTTTATCCAATGCTGTTTTGCCCTCCTCATCACGAAGATCAGGATTTGCTCCGTATTTCAATAAAATTTTCACAATCTTGAAACAAGAGTAAATAAATACATAAGATACAAGTTTCGAAAAAAAGAACCTTGATTGAATATTAAAAAAACTTACATCTGACCTACCAAAACAAGCAGCGTAATGTAGCGATGAGGAGCGCTGACCCTTATTTACATCGGCGCCCTTATCACACAAATATGTCACCATTTCAGCGGTGCCAAATGCAGAAGACCAATTAAGCAAAGTTTGTCCCACATCATCCGTGAAATTTGCATCAACCTGCAGCGATTTACGAGACATCGTAAACAATCATTAAAAACAATTCAGTCAATAACTGCGACACAGAATCATATCAAATAGATTAATACCTCTTGTTCAAACTAGTTAAAAGGATAACTATAGTAAGAGGAATCGAAGATTGTATCTTCATTCAAAATAATTTTTATTAAATCCTACATTTAAATCGTTTGTAGGAGATGACCATGACTTAATAATCGTCGTCAAACTATTCATTTTTAACATGCAATTTTTTGAATCAAGACGTAAAAATTTAAAAGCTGACCTGTCCTGATTCAATAGCGTCAATCAAAGCATCCGTATCACGCTGACGAATTGCATCGATGAGATGCCTATGAGAACGGTCTAATGAATTAGGACCTGAAAATAAACAAAAGTTGATCATTTTTCTTCAGAATTTTAAAAAGATAGAAATACTCCACAGAACAAACGAAATCTACAATCGACAAACCTGTTTCATTACGGCTAATCACAGTAGAACCCATACTTTTGGGTAAAGCAGTTCGTCCCTCACAGAGAATTACCATAAGAAGATCGCAAAAACGCAAAGCGTCCATAATGCAGTGTTCATCTTTGCTCGTCAGAACTGTTTTTAGTGCGCAAAAAAGCAGTGGAGAACTTCAAAAAAGAGTTGTTTACTAAATATCCTTTTTCCTGACTTCTTATCAGCGAAGCATTAATACTACTACAATGTATCAAAAATACACGAAATGTGGCTCCAATTACTTGATTAGCTGGCAGCAAAAATTACCTTACAACTTGCTCGGTAACAATCGATGAGCCACGACAAAGATTACTCAATAATGAAATGACAACGGAAGTAAATGATGCTGGTCGATTTAAGCCAAATGCTAAAGATGATGCCATCAAATCACTTGATCCCACTGAATTAGCATTTCTCATATGTGACAGTGATGCAGTGCAAACTCCAGCAGTCAGATGTGAAGGTACCAGTGAATTAAGCAGATGTTGAACAAGATTCCCATGTCGTACCATTTCTACTGGATCCATGAATTTACGAATGAAACGATCTGTTAGTGCAGCAAAGCAACGTAGAGCACACTCTGATACCTAAAGAAAAAATATTGTTTAATGTTTGAAGAAACAATGATTTGCTGAATAGTAGAGACTTTCAACTATATTTAGCAACATTTATGTGAATATTAAATAAAACTATAACTTTACGAGGTCTAACAGTAATCTGAAATAAAGTATGAATTTTTGGCAAATTAAACCTTCGGATCGTCATGTTCAAGAAGAGCTCCCAAATTGGCACTACATTCCGGCATGGTGGAATCATTCGGTTCCATTTTGCTACATAATCTCGTGATGACAGACATTGCAGAGTGAATAGTATCCTTGAAAATAAACTGATAACATTACTATATGATTGTTTTCACTCCTATTACGTTTGCAACACTGCCGAGATTTTACAGTACATGCCTTCACATATACATCTCTATAGGCACATCAGGCCCAACTATTCTGGATTGAATGCTTCTAGTTTTAAATATAAATTTTAAAGTACTGCTAGCTATTTAAGGTATCACAGATTAGCAAGTAAGAGGCAAAACCTCAAATTTTGAACCAAGATAAATCCAATTTTTAACACTGTTATTTAATATCCAATCTTATACTTCAAATTTCGACACCAAATAAACTAAATTTCTGACAGCATTACCTTGTGAACATACTGGCCATGTTGACGAACTAAACTCAACATACACTGTAATCCTCCAGCATCATATACTGCAGATGTTTCCCTTTGACAAACATGTTCGAGCAATTTCACACATTGTTCAGCTGAAAAAAAACTGGAAGCAATAATGATATACAAGATCCGTAAAATTATGTAATAAAAATGCCCCTCAAGGATAAAAAGAGCACCACAATTTCGAATAAACAAATAAGTATATAATTAATGTAATTTAAGATTTACTACAATTAGCCTTAACCAGTCTTTCACATTCCTTTCATCTTCAAGCATGCGACAGTGTACCGTGAAGTGAAATGCGTATCTTGACACAAAGTCTTCACGCAAATTCGATGTTCTAGTTTCACACACGTTCAACAGAAAACCATTAATGCTGTTACGTAGTTCAATGCGTTACCGAGATCCTTGCTTGTACGATCACTCATTTCTGCAACTGCTAGTCGGTTACAGATTGCTTTAACAGCACCATCCACTTGTGTTATCCGCCTGGTGCATTCATTGGACACATCCAAATAGTACGTTATTGCACGTGCAGTGACCTAAATTTATTTTACTTTTGTCTTAAAAATTCTCTGAAAAACTTCATTTAAGGCAATTAAGAAATGCCCGTGAACAGACAAACGGAATGATTCTTGATATTTTCTCCTGAAAACATTTTCATTTGATTTAGCTACCTAGTTCATGGTTGCAAAACTCAAGTGTAATTTTTTAGACTGAATTAATTATGCGTTAATTGTGTTTGCGTTACTTAAATTTTGCGTCAAACACTTTTTAACTTTATAAACCAATGTAACTGTAAAATTGGAATGTGTAAATCTTTACCTCCTCAGGAAAACTGTTCATGATGAATACCATGCTTCCGCTTAAAGTTAAATAATTATCATATCTATTTTCAATCATCCTCTTGAAACTTTTCAAATTAAGGATTCAAGAATGTTATATTAGATACATACTTCCAAAACATTTTCTGTAGCCGTTTCATCGAGGAATATTTTACATAATGCGGGAAGGAAAGTTCTTGGTGGACAACTTTCAAAACACTGATCAATATTGTCACTCATCAGCAAGAGCATACAAAGCTGTTCCAATGCCATTAACTGAAATTCAGTTTTTCTTTGTTCCTGCTGCTTCTCAGTAACAGGAAATCTTTAATTTACATAATGGAAGACGATACACGACTACACCAATTACCTGAATGTCTCGTTCATCACCAACTCCTGTTTGCAGCCACTCCAGAAGAGTGTCTGGATCCACACCTTCCATTACAGATGTCCTCTTTTCCTTCAACAGCACACGCCACACCTTGAAAACACATCATTAACAGTGGGGATACGAAAAGCATAAATGAGAAAAAATACTTTCAACCGTAGCGCACGATGAAGTTAAGTGATGCCACTCCACACTAAGTAAATCAATTCATTACCGAAAAAACGACACATTTAGAAGAACAAAAAATATGACAGATGTCTGCTTGAATTAAAAAATTCTTGGCGCAAAATAGAATTTAATAAACAGAATTTCTTCTCTACTCAATTATTTTCAGGACAATGAAAATAGCATAGATTCATAATTGGTTTGCGTTTGACAGTTAGAAAGAAACTCATTGGCTATATTTTAATAACCAGTCAAAGAAATAATTGAGTAGAGAAAAATAGTTCACGACATTAAGTTTCTTTCCATACCATACATATGAAACCATCAAACTTACAGCAGCTGAACAGATGATACGAAAATTTAAAATGAAGTTTGGGCAACAAGACAAAACACATTTGAAAATTCAAAAATGCTCACTTAGTACGAAAACGAGAAATGCATCAACTCATTTTGTTCCACGACAAGTGATGCTCGAAATCAACTACAATTAACAAACTTGGCAAGAGAACTAAGCTCAAAAATGACATATCTTCGCAGGAACAATTATAAATCGAAAGAGAAATAAGGAGGAAAGTTGTTATGAATCTGTCATAGAGACTGATCAATCATTCATGCATTCATGGATTCAAACTAAGAAATCCATCTAACCAAGTATGGTTAAAACTGACAAGAGTAAATGAAGGACAAGATAGGAAAGTAAATAACTCATGGTAAAGAACTGACAAACTAATGATAGCAATAGCATTTCAAAGACGGAGTTTTTACCAATTACATTGGAGGACTTTGGTAACAAGACCAGGACATCAAATGACCTACCTCACCCTGCGCACTGAATGAAACGGCAGCACACAACGCAAGACAAACCTCACTCCCAACTCATACTTACTTTCGCAGGCTGATAAACGATTGCATAATGTAAATGCGTGTGCGCAGACCATTGGCGGCAATTTAAAATTAGCTGAATTAAGAGCAGTTACAAGTGGCTAGGACCGCTACAGACATGTGAGCGGTCTTTAAACGAACACAATGAAATGAAGATTAAGCTGGCTATCACTAGATGACGGAGTAGGTATTTACAATAATTTCATACATTCATGAATATTAGCAATTAAAAACAGATGCCTAAGTAAACACCAGCGGTTTGTCCACAGCGCTGAGCATCGCATGGATATCGAGAGAAACTTTCATTTTCATATGTCCCAATCAGAGTGGTGCAGTATAAGTTAAAATTTGCTTAATGGTTCTGGCTGGCTCATCTCTCCGAATGACGCATCGATGGGGTGCATGTGTCAGTGGGTGACGAGGGGGTCGGAAATTGTTATTTCCCCTTGTGCGTCATTTAGTTTGAAAATAAGATTAATAAACAATCCCTTACAGCAGCAGGCTTGGAGGTTCGAGTAGGACATTGTTGTTAACGTCTCAAACAATCATGTTTATTAGTACTTCTTCAAAAGATTTGGGAGAACGCTAAAGTCCGTGCATAACGAATGTGCTTTCATGTATTGAACGTGAGATATCACATCTGTCTTAGCACTGCATCGGATTATTGTCGAGTTTTAACAGTTGTAACCATTACAAAAAGCCGTTTAAGCAATCAGTAATAAGCATAGCTTGGATTGTTACGGTTCGTGCAACTGCAGATAAAAATTTTTATTACATTTCCTTTATGTTTCGACAATTTAAAAATTTTTGCAGGACTTAGTTCCAAGTTTCACCATGCACATTACAGTTTTACTGTTTTTTATTTCATATGATTCCTTTGATTTAAAGGGGTATTAATTCTATGTTACAAGCTAATATGCTAACTACTATACCTACCATATCTAGCAACATTCTTTCTTGAATATGCATAATGCATTCATCTTTTCTTAGTTAATTTATTGAATCGCTTCTAAATTTGTGTGAAAAAGACTGCATAAATCTTTATCAATATTTCAAGCACTAGATGTGTACTACATGTACGTATACGATTGACAAGCTTTCATTATCACAGCTAAATATTTCTGAAATTTCTGATCACCTGTCAAAATGATTAAATCTAAGAAAGAGCTTTGTTATTAGTGCTTTTATAACGAAGGAGTGGTCCAGTTTTAAAAACTCGTACCAAGCTATATATATATATATGCTTGCATAAGTTCCAGATCTAGTCTTCTCCGCTCCCATCACCGTTCTATAAATATTTATGAAAGGATCAAATTGTTCTACGAATTCCGTTCATTTTCTGCATGGGAGTTTCATTTATATGCAACATACTTTAATTCAGGAAATCGGTAATCAGGTGCTTCGTAATGGAAACGGACGACTCCTTCGACTTTTTATTTAAAATAGTTCTAATCGGTGATATGGGTGTGGGTAAAACTTGTGTCGTGCAAAGGTATTTTATAACATTTTCAAACAGTGTATAAATAGATTTATTATTATTATTATTATTATTATTATTATTATTATTATTATTATTATTATTATTTTTAGTGGTTTTTGACTGGTTTAGAAACTGCTGTAATTTCCATGTGAATTAACAAGCATTAATTTTTGTAAGTTATTCCTTCAGTTTTAGATTACTGTGAGTTTCTAAATTCCGTTAGCGTCCAAGCATTGTTGAGGTGATAAAGAGAGAAGGCAAATATTATACTAGTTTGGAATGGTACTGAAAATACGTCACTGATTGGTCTCAGGAAACATCATAAATGGGAGAATTCAACAAAGGGATCAAATGGGATCAGTCCTAACCTAGGAATTTGCCGAGATTTTTTGCGCTCAGTTGGAATTTTAATAATGATGATTTCATATTACTAGAGGTCTCAGTAGTGTAAATGGTGTCCACTTATTTTGTATTTTGTACAACATTCTTGCTGCATCCAATACACTTTATGTTGTAAGTTATAAGAATAATACTGTTATCAGGTACAGCATCTGGAAGGGAGCTTCGGTAATGTAGGAATAGCTTCTTTTTACTCTTAATAACATTCAATACACAATACTGGATTTAATAATTTAAATTTAAATGCAGTTTTGAGCTATTTAAGGTTCAAAAATGGAACATTCATTGAAAGGCAAGGAACAACAATTGGTGTTGATTTCTCGATGAAAACATTGATTATTGAAGGCAAACGTGTGAAATTGCAAATTTGGGATACTGGTGGTCAAGAAAGATTCCGCACAATTACTCAAAGTTATTATAGGTTAATATGATTGTTGAAATCGTAGTGTTACTAGTGTTCTTTTTATGTAGGATGATGGTACGGTGTAAGGATCGTGACATGTCATTTAACATTTCACTGTATATACACTTCCCAAGAGCAGAGATTACCATAAGACGGAGCTGGTTTAAGTCGGACTGTGAGAAAGCGCAGTACATTTTGTACTAATATTCGTAGGTTAAATCACGTGTTGTTTATTGTAGGATCATTTATTGCAGATCGGCAAATGGTATTTTATTATGTTATGACCTGACATGCCGTCAGTCTTTTGAGTCACTCCATCGTTGGCTAGATGATGTATCAAAATTTGCTGCACCGAATGTCTGTAAAGTACTTGTTGGTAGGTTTTTAGAATCGTTTATTTCGTTACGTTGCGTATTTCTTGAACGTTTTGGTAGTGCATGATGAAGTTGATGATTTGAAGAGCTGAGAGAATAGCGTAACAGGCACGTACAGTTTGTTGATAAGTAATGATAAAGAAGTAATATATTCATGCAAAATTGTTTCATGACTGATTTTTAGCAACGAAGGCAGATCTTGCAAATGAACGTCTAGTTGAAGGGAATGAAGGTAGCGAATTAGCAAATAAACATGGTATGTGCATGTTCATTGAAACATCATCAAAAAGTAATTTAAATGTGGATAATGCGTTTTTGGAATTAGCGTGTCAGTTGAAGAGGCAATACGAAGCGGGTGTACATTTGGATTCTCACTTGGATGCTTTCAAAATCTCGCAGGATACTACAACGATCAGCTCAAAGTGGGCTTCATGTTGCCACTATTTATGACTATCCAATTTTTCAAATATTTTGATTCTGAAATCCGATAACAAACTACAGTTTTGTAAATCTTTTTTTTGTTGCCTTTATTTCTTTATGAATCTGTGTTTGCTTTAATTGTTTTCTAGACTTGTGCTCCACTATTTTGCGAACATCTGTCTTTCAAGATATATCTGAATAAAATTTTTTATGTGGCATGATGATGTAAAATTTTCCTTGCATCCTCGACTCTAAAGCATTAGAAGATTGTAGTTTGATCATTTTAAGATCCTGCTGAACTTATTTAACATGTTGACAAATGAGTTTTCGAACAGTTTTGCTGCTTTTTCTTGATGAATTTCTGATGCTGCTCTTAATGGTGATATTTTAATCTAAATTAATTCTTCTTAAATATTTGTTTTTTTGTATACTGCAAAATTGATCCATCTAAGTATATATTCACGCTTTTTCTGTCATTCAGAAACGGTGCTGCATGTTTTTTTTTTGCAAGATTTCTAGAACATTTTAAATCAGATTTCGTAGTCTTATGTTATTTAAACTTAGCTGTAGACAGCGCATCTAATTTTTCTTTGGTGGTTGCTTAAATTTGTCAGTTTACCCTGACAAGCCTATAAATTTAAGCAACCGTTTTCATTCGGAATTCAGGTAAACATTGAAAACAGGAAAAAAAAAGAATAGTATTGAATATTTATTTGATAAGTTCTTGTAAATTTAATTAAATGTTGACTCATTTGTTTCAGCATGCAGAATTAGGTGCTGGTGTCCCACTCCGACACAGTTTTTGTTTTATGTTAGTGCTTCAATTTCGTATTGCATAATTTGTATGCATAAAGAAAAGATCTACCGTGATACTGATACAAACTTCGTATTTTCGTGTTCATATTAATATACTCAATCGATCGGTCTTGCTTTTTTTCAAAGTGTGAAACGGTTTTATCTGGTATCTATCAAATACATATGAATTATTAGGTATCTATCTTTCACGTACATGAATTCATTGTGAAACTGAGCAACTATGATCAAGAAGATTGCAGTGTTTTGTGGCCTACACTCACTGAGTGGGTTAAGTAGCTGAGAAGTGTCAAGTAAGGTAGATGGAATAATAACGATTTTTTTGAAATGACGATCTTAATATAACTTTCCCGTAGAGGTAGGGTTGCTTTCAATCTTTTACATTTAGAGTAAATGCAATGAAGTTATGCACGCTTGGAATGGCGATATGATTTGTAATGCTTAACTATGATTTGAATGTCAGTCTTATTGTATATTCTAATCTGGCTAAAGAATTACATTTACTTACAATACATGATGGCACGATGTTGGCAGTGTGGTGCATCTGCTTCCGTGAAGAGGTCAAGGGACGGTAAACCCGCTTGTGTCATTTGTTTCACTGATGCCTTCGAAGCGGTAAATTATACAAGTTTAGAAAGTTTTATGTCATTCATCCTCTCATCAGTTCTATGAGCTGAAGCATTTCTTCGTTATAAAGGTGTTAATTTGTTTTTACGAAATTCATGCATTGAATATCAAGAGAAGTAGTAATGTTGAATGGAAAAGTCTAGGATATTATCAATGAAAAACTGTAATTTTTTTCTTGGAAATATCTGTAGGCAGAAATGCACCATTGATTCAACTTGCGGAATTGACAGTACTCAGTATTGGTGAGGTCCTGACAATATATGGAAGTAAGCAAAATCCTTTTACTGTAGGACCTTCATTACACGTGGGTTCGATGGGGCACTTCGTACCAACATTGTTACTGATGTATAAAATTTTCGGTTTTTTGATGCTTTCAGTCACCGTGGCGAGCTGAGGCGTGGGAAAAGTCATTAAGTGATACGCATTTATAAAATTTCTGCGGCACATTTAAGTAATTGTATGCATTTAGAATTAGTTTGGGAATAAATAATTTAATTAAGAACCATAGACACTAGCAAGTGCTTGAAAAGTGGAATAGGGTCAACCGTATTGGCTTTAGCATATGTAGACACTTGTCAGATGGAAAATAGTCATCATAAATTACAATTTTAAGGGTTATGTTGGATTTATTATGTTACAGGAAGTGCATAGCGCGATTAAAACATACGGCTTGTTTGACGAGGGTAAGAAAGTTGCTGTGGGAGCATCAGGTGGTAAGGATTCAACGGTATTAATTCATGTGTTAAATAAGCTGAATCAAAAGCATGGTTACGGATTGGATATCATTCTCCTTTCAATCGATGAAGGAATCACAGTAATTTCTTTCTGGTTGATGTTTTCAGAATTTGTGCATAGGTGACTTACATTAGAATGTAATGCTACATTCATATAATTGGGCATTTTTAGCCATAAGTTTTCGAGGCCTTCTATAACTTTATTTCACTGAAGAATGCTTTGTAACAGCAACATAGTATGGATAAAGGCAAAGTAGTTAGTATAGATAACTTTGAGAACCCGCAAAATCAACGGTTCTTTCGGTTTGAGAGTAAAAACGTGAGCGAGATTTTGGTTTAAGAAAAAGGCTTTTTAAATTGAATAGATGAAGATTTCAATTTTTTTTTCTTTAAGTGAAGTTCAGACTCTTTGTGCTCTTAGGGTTACCGCGATGACTCGTTAAAAGCTGTTGAAAGGAACCGAAATGATTATGGACTACCATTAGTCATAATGACTTATAAACAACTGTATGGCTGGACAATGGATGAAATTGTGTCAGCGGTTGGTGCTAGAAATAACTGTACTTTCTGCGGTGTTTTTCGGAGACGTGCTTTAGATAGGTGATGAAATTCTGACTTCTGAAGTAATCTATTCCTTTTTTCATTGTCTTTTCCTGCTTGTATTGTTTCTATGCGATGATTTTCCTATCTCGTCTATTGGTCACCTCTCTACCAGTATCATTGTTAAAAGCAATACTGTATTATATTTTAGGGGTGCAATTGAGTGTGGAGCAAATATTATCGCAACAGGGCATAACGCTGATGATATGGCAGAGACAGTATTACTTAATATTTTGCGAGGCGATTTGGCACGGTTGCAACGATGCACCGATATTGTAACAGGTCCAGCAGTAGTCTCTTAATTAGTATCTTTGATGATTTCATAAATCAGTGTGAATTAAATATCTTATCATGACTGGATTAACGAGTATTGTGCATTCCGGAAAGCAGTGTACAAAGATATATCTTGTCATACCTTGATCATTTCAGATATGGCAGAACTAACGCTGTTAGCGCAACCAGTAGATGTTAAATAAAGATGATTAAGAGTTATTTAAGACTGAGACTTAGATATGTGTGCAATAGTAATGTTTCATGCACTCATGTCTCATAACATTATAATCGTCGCACTGGCGCCCAACGGTTCTAATGACAGCTGTCGGACTTCCATGATTGTTAATGAATCCTGTGTAAGCATACTTTTTAGAATTGATAACAATTATCTTTTTAGGATTGGAGGGTTGTTTGCCTCGAACGAAACCTCTAAAATATGTCTTTGAAAAAGATATTGTGATGTACGCACACTTTAATAGGCTGGATTATTTTTCCACCGAATGTAGATATGCACCCGACTCCTTCCGCAATTACGTAAGGTACATAATCAAATTTGATTCCACAGGAATACTGTGCTGAACTAATTATATTCGTGCTAGAGGCAATTTTTCTTACAGAATGTATGTCAAGAAGTTGGAGAGGCTACAGCCGAAAGCGATTTTGGATTTAATAAGATCCGGCGAGGCCATTTCTGCTCGGAGTGATGTTTCCCGCACACTGACCACATGTGAAAGGTTTTATCGCAGTGCAGAACTATCATTGTTAGCATAATCAGAAATAATGAGTCAGTTGTCTGAATTTCAGATGTGGCTGTATGTCATCGCAGAAGCTTTGTAAAGCGTGTCTTTTGCTGCAGGGTCTGTTTACGAATGATTACAACTTGGGTGTGAAAAAGGTAATTGTTTTGCTGAAATGTATTATAGTTGGGTTCACAGCATCCTGGTAAAACAAGACCATTTTGTTGAAATATAATTTTTTTTTTCGATCGTGCTTTAAAAAATAAGGAGAGATGAAAATTCGATTGTGAAGTGTCCCAATTCATTCAGATTTTGTGGGGTGCTTATTTTTTTTAATAATTTCCGATTACTTGGTACAAAAGGAAGTTGAAATTTTATACATAATGTTCGATTTTTAGATAATGCTGTTTATGCCTGGAGATGATATTAGTTTACATTGCTTACTTGTTTCTAATTTTAGCTTGATAGTAAACCTCGAACTTCACTGCAGGAATCCACGAGTTTTCTTTAATGTACCAATAGTAGGTGTCTTCTGAATAAAAAAGTATAGCCAGAGGAACTTATAGGCAGCTTGAAGATAACTTTCAACGCACTAATATTCGATTCATATCTGGCATATATACTATATATGCATGATTTTTTCCAGAACAAAAGTTTGTTTAAAAATATGTTGTAATTTTGCAGATGATGAAGGAAAGGACATGCACAAAACAGCACCTCGAAAAGAAATGTGCTTGTGAGACAAAGAACGAGTTTTGTTTTTAAATTTATCCTGTTCCCAAATATGATAAGAGATTGAAATAAAAAATTTAAGGCACAGCTTCTTAAAAACTAAAAGTACACCGTGCGTTTGTCCCTCTGCTTTAACCGCTGCAAATCCCTTGTTTTGTTGATTGCATTATGTATGGCAACCTGCAACAAAACATATGTAAAACTTGGAAAAATGATTGCGTTCCTCAAGCGAACACACCCAACAAAACGTGGAATTACCCGTCGTAGTTTTTCAGTTTTCGTTGGAAATACTTCAGTTATCGGTCCTAAATCAAATTGCTCTCTTAAAATGGGATTCATTTTGAGATGGGAATTTATGCTGCCATGCAAAACGCCACAAATAAATTCGTACAAGAGCTTCTTTTGACAAGATTTTATACTCAATGTTTCATCGCCAAATCTTACATCAAATACCGGCGCTTCTTGTTCCTGAAACAAGTCTAACTATCTTACAGGAAACCTTGTCCACTTCTACTTCTCGAACAGTTTTTTACAAGAAGTTTGTCAACATACGTAAAACTTGTCAAAGTTCAATACCCAAATATAAACAGCTAACTATTTGAATCTGGTACATGATGTTTAATGATATCAAAGAGGACCTATCTTGAGAGACGGTGGGAAATGATTTTTAGAAATAGGGCTTTCTTTAATGTCATTATACCACAGCTCTTCAAAACAGTAAGATTAGCAAAGCTACCTTTATGGATGCATACAACTGCCTGAATATGAACTTCTCTACTTTTCGATCTTTTTTGGCTCGAAATTTCAGTGAATCGGTTGTCAAATTTGCAAAGATATCCAAAATACGCTGCTGGTTGGGAAATCGATATTTGTCACCGAATGTCATTACGGCAGCTTCCAGCAAAACTGCCAAAGCTTTACCCGCACTTAGTCTCATTTCCAGCTTTAATGAATATGATAAACATAGCAGATGTAGCTGCAGCTTTAGTTGGCCCTATTGAAACTCGAGTTTCTCAGCAAAACGCGAAAATAGACATAAGATACCTACGTACTTACCTGCATGCCACCGAGAAACGTACATAACTTGGGTTCATCTAGTAATGCAACTCTCAAAGCTTCTTGTCCTCCCTGAAAAACTTCGAACTGAAATTTAAAGTATAATTTAACCCCGAAATTGAATTGAAGTTCTAATCCAATTAAAAAAATAGAATTAATCCCAAAACTAAATTGAAATTTTAGTCTAAAGGAACCTGTTTTAAATAGTTTTTTTTTACAATCAAATCGCAATAATTTAATCAGCGGAATAATCCAAATGATTTGACGAATTCTAGTGCAAATTTCTGAGTCTACCTATGGATGTGTAGTTTAATATCAAACAATGAATTACATGTTTTAGTTGCATTGAGTTACGTGACAAGTATTTTGATTCAAAATGTATGGAATAATAGGAATGAGAAATGGATGAAATACAGACTCAGCTGCCCAAATTAAGACAAAAACATATTTCTCACTTCTACCACTGAATAAACTAATGCATAGCTCTCTTTTCCTCCGAACATTTTATTCTTACTTTATGAATCAATAGAGACCACCCTGATAAAGCTACGCAAAATAGCTTTACAGAAACAGCGCTTGATTTCACAGTAAACCAAATAGATCGTAATGCAGCAACAGATGCAAGAATAGTTGCTGGCTGTTCCAAGCATAGAAAAGTACAAAGAGCTGTTGAACGTGCACATTGGCTACGCAGCTGAACATTTCGAGTTGGATCTGTGCATATTTGGCACAAAAAACTAACGATCGATTCCATTTCGCCGGCAATCTTTTCTCCTGAAAATTAACGGAAAAACAATAAAAAATTAACAAAATTTTGCTGACAGTTCATCATGTAGTATGCTTGCAAAGAGAAGCACTCAATAATTCCAGAATGCATTTCTACAAGCCGGTATGATTGTTTGAAAATTGCTCTCTACAAAGCTCCTAGCTATAATTAATATGAGGTGAGTTTATCCGAAACTGAATTTCATAAAACTGACCCAACTGAATTGAAACCAAAATAGATACAGAAGCAGCAATTTTTGCTTCCTCATCAGTTTTTCGTAATGCTTTATCAATAATGTCTATTAAAGTAGCAGCCCACTTCTCGAGAGCTATATATCGTCTAGTTAATAAGATTTCGATATTACTTACTGCAGCCAAACGAATGGATACGCTGAAATACAAAGAGTTTTATAACCATAATTGAAAAAAGATTAGTTCATTTCTATTTAAGTATAAAACATGTCCGGATTTTTCAGAAGTATTGACAACACATTTTACTCAGTGTGTAAAACTCCTCCATTTCATCGGCTCTCCTTACTTTTTGCTGGTAGCCCTATCAAGAAAACCATCCAGCTGATCGGAAGGAGTCACTATATCAGTCAGATCCTCCTCATCTGAAATGTCATACATTGGTATACGAGAGGTGACTTCAGTTCATACAGAATTCCATCTTACCTATTAAAAATGAAAATTCTACGACAGTACTGCGCAACAGTTCAACTATGACCAAGGCTAAAATCTATACACCTTCTATCAATCTGATGCAATAAATTCTATCAAATCCAAAACAGCTGTTCTTTCATTCAATGTGAACTTTTACAAACTGCTTAAATTCCTTACCAGAATGCGTAACACAGGATCCATCATCACTGTCATCACTGTTCACTTCTACCACTGAAAGCACAGTAAATGTCGTAAAATTGAAGTTTATGTTTTATATATCAATCATACTGTTAAATTTATTAATTGGGATAAAGAAGAGCGTGCTACTATGTTTACTGTGTTAATCTTAAATAGAGTCTTGTTTATATGGAGAAGTTCCAGGGAAAACCACAAAGTATACTTCCTTTTCTGCACTTTCAGTTTCGCTTTCTATCTTATTACCACTAACTAACGAGACCTTCATCTTTGCTTCTCTAATCCATCATCTTTTGTTGTGCATATACCATGTTGTATGAAAAAAAAACTCATATGGTGGTCTATTTGAGACATTGGTCAAGCTAGCTAACTTAACTTCCAAATTCAAAAAATTAGACATCTCTGAAGACAACTCTTCTAATTTCTGAACCATTTGATTTTCTATGCAGGTAAAGACTGCAACAAAACATAAGACTAGAAGGTCATTTTGAAAAGGAAAAATGAGATACCAGTTTTGCGTGAAACGGATGAGAAAACAGCGAAATCTTCTTGGTCGGCTTTGTTCTTATTACGTTGCTTTGCCATTCAACAAAGTAAAACATTCATATATTAATCAAACCAGTATACTTAATATTTCGACAACAAATCAAGCTGTTCATCAAGCGCGTCTTTAGAAAACAGACAAAAACTGTAACGGAAGAAGTTACTAAATGTAATAATGTTTCAGTAGTAAAATAAATCACTAACACTACTATCTAATCATTTCCACGGAGCAATAGATAAACGTTTCATTTATTCTAATCTTATAAGGTGATATAGGGGTGTGTAAAATGAAAAACAAATTGCTAATCTCAATAAACCGATCTTCGCCTCCACAAAAAACCTCTTACCAGTTAAGATCTACGTACATCACATCCCAACGGACCCAATCTCCTCCCTCCACCTTAACTCAAAAAACGCCACACAACTGCCAGTTATATAATGACTTTATAACTTATGGCGGCCGTGTAACAAGAACAATCTCAGCTTGCTACTGCGTTTGGATCACCGGTAAAAAATAATGGCTTGCTTTTGTGCATTCTCATTTCTAACGGTTTTCAACGTCGGAAGTGATAATGTAATAAATATAACAATAATCTGTAAGGAATATAAATAAAGAAGCTGTGAAGAATATTTCCATCATTGAGCAATGAAAGTGGTCAATGAATCATGGGCGTCAAGCAAATACTTTCTTAGAACTAAACCATTTTTTGATCCTATCCGTCTGATTGTACTTGTCCGACTTTCCTTCTCTTGCTTAGTTGTTCTTCAAATTAGCTCATCAACTTTTATATTTAGATGTTAAGAATGAGAAGTTAATGGGATTAGATTTGAAAGCCTTTTTATGTATGAAATTCTGTTCCTATAGCCATAAAATTTTACTCACATTGCTCACTTCCAACATAAAACATTGAAAGTATTATAAGGAAAAAGTTGGAATAATTTGAGATGCAAATTGTCTGATTCTTGTGAACATATTCTTCTGTTAGAATTCAATTAACCAAAATTAGATGTGATGTTGACAGGATTTGCTGATCACAGAGTTTTTCTAAGAAAATATTAATTGATTCCTAATTGATCTCGATGATATTTTGCAGGAATGAAAGATAAAATTTATTTTTTTCCTTACTTAATTCGCATAATAAAGTTTTTTTAAGCTGATAGATTGAAATTGTAGTGTTTTTAAGGGCATGAAGTGGTTTTGCAAAATGAAGTATTGTTTCTTCAAGAAGCATTTTCATCAGATGTTCTTTTTCGCATTTTTGTTGAATTCGTTGCCACAATAAACTTTCTTATCTTCATAAAAAATAAAGTAAAGGAAACTACGATTACCGTTACCAATCAAATGAAAAAAAACTGAAAGTTTTGGTGGTGGTGAGTCAATTCTAAACAGAAAAGCTGGCTAATAAAACATTACAGATTATCTCGGATCCTCATTCCGTTAAATCAAATCTATCTTTTTTTCTTTTTTGTAATTTTTCCTTTGGGCTATTACGATGCAAATAACTGGTACGTTATACAAATAGGGTTGAATCTAGGCGAATAAATCAGAGATTTATTTCCTGGGTCAATTAGCAGTTTTTTTTCAAAAAGAGTTAAAAAATAACTGTAGTCAATATTCAGAAATAAAAGCCTAGTGACAAAATACACTGCAATTGATTTAATTATTCATGCTGTTTAGCTTCTAGGTTTATACGACCTTCACCTTTTATATTGTAATCTGGTCTACGTCTACTTGGCTGCTTACCTTCTCTAATCCTAGTTATATAGTGCTACTGCTATAATAAGACTTAACAAGTTTAAACTTTAATCTATAATTCTCCAGCATATGGTAGCCAAATACAAATTAGAATGCTTTGTCTGCTACAAGATTTTAGTAATAGGATCTGTTTATATCAAAACATGAACTGTTCCTAAGCGACCTTAAAAGCGATTAGATTTTTGAAGCGCTATTTGTTGGTCACACCTAAATCGGAAAAATACTTCACACGGTCAGATTATAACGATTTTTAAAAATATCTCCGATAGCAGTATTTTTAACAGATTTCTTCAATTCTTCGGAAGATGGAAGATAATTTTTTTCTAAATGTCAGAATTTCCACATATTCCATTTTGGTCCGAAACCCAATACAGCGATCATTACAATATTTTGTTGCGGAAGTTATTTGCTGGCCATAGCATTTCAAATAAAAAATCGTTTAGTGATTTCTATTTTTTATTTGAAATATTACGATATTTGTCCAGTGATATAGCTAATTCTATTCATTTCCCTAAACTTCCTTGACAGTTCAGCAAGCTGATGGTGACGATAATAGAAAGCAATTTATGGCTGAGTAATGTGAAAAGTTCGTGAATTGAACAGGCAGTCAATGACTAACACCCATCGTTCTCGGCAATCCTCTGACTGTCGACAAATCCCTTCAGTGTCCTATTTATCCCAATGGCGCACTATTTACTTTCAACTATCCCTCATCCAACTAGTCTGATGAACGCCATTGATCTGTTAACAGCTAGATGTCGACAACCAACACTTCCGGTAAAAGTCGGTGACCTTACCTGGGTATACTTCAGTTATGACCCAACTATTTCCCTTTCCGCCCATTTTTAGTTAAATATTATCCGATAATCAAAACCAACAAGTGCATTTATTCTGTAAAACCGTAGTTTTGTAGATATTCTCAAAAATGGTTCCTCTTCAATCACTGTTAATCAATCAATCAGGCATTTCTTCAATCATCTTAAAGCAACTTGAATGAGTAATTTCTATGTGATCAACAGAGGTTTATCCACTTGAATCAGCTAGAATGGAATATTAATTCAGAATTATTGCTTATCTTCAGTCCTCTATAAATTAAATTTGAAGTTAATTGAAATCATAAAATGGATGGAAAAAGTAAGGTTGAAGTGTATGGAAATGAAAAAAGATCAAGAGAAAAAAAGATCGAATGCAGCGCTATACCAAAATGATTCGATGCTGTAATAACTGCTGAAGTTTTCTATGATTTTGATTCAAATCAAATCAGCATTTATAGCATAATGATAGGGTATTTCAAAATTCCTTGTCTTAACAAAGAGAAGACAGCTGATGGATGAGGAAGTGCTTATGAGACTTAAAAATTGGTATGATTCTTTTGTCGATTCATACTCTTTATTGGCTCGCAAATCTTTACTCACTTCTCATTCAATTAACAAAACGTCAAATTTTTTATTAACAATTTGTTTTTCACACTTTCTTTACGCTTTACAGTTTCATCAGAAATAAGCAAGTGATTCAAGTAATCAACACATTACAACTGCCCTTGTGGTAAAAGTAACATAGTCAGCTGATTAAACTGCCGATGGTTCAAATCAAATAAATGATAAAGAAAAAATGAATTATGCTGAATGTTCTTAATCAGAAAAGGCAAGCAAAAAACCGGTGAGCTTATTTGTTGTCGTTCTTTTTAAGAGAAAGCATTACTTTTCTTTATGCTATAATATCAAAAATTCATGATTTTTAAAAACCGACGCAATAAATACTAATATATTGCCCTCTGTTTGCTTGAAAATTTTGTTGAAAAAGAAATGGAAATTGAAATTGAGCATAGAAGCATGAAATATTAACAGTTTTTAGGCAACCGACCGTCGAGGACGAATGGCACTTTTTTTATATAACTCAAGGTAACTCTGAATGTAAAGAGAAGCACATGTGGAAACACAAGCAGATATGTTGAAGCACATAAATAGATCGATGTGTACAAACAGAAACATAAGCGATGTCACTTTTTTTCAGCATTTATTCATTTCCTGTCCAATGTACGGCAGGCATCTTTTTTTCCTCATGTCGTTTAATTTTACTATTTAGGATCTCGTTTTTTGGATAGCTAAACAAGTTGTGCTTCTTTTCATCTTTCAATTACCACCTTAAATAGTATTAATGAGAAGTCATGTTCAATGGAAGAATAATCAAATTTGATATTTTTCGTGCTGGAATTATCAACGTAAGTAATTGGAAAGATAATGTTAGGGAAGGAAGAAGGGTAGGTGAGAGAGAGGATATATTGTTTTCAGAAATGAATCGAAAGCACTTTAGGATTGTCCCCACTATTGGGAGATTGTAACGGTGAAAAGGGTGAAGGAAGAAATAAGGCGTTAATGTTATTATGGTGGTTGGGAAGTAGAAGTGCTTTAAGTAAATGAGTTTCAATCCCCGATGGGTATCCCCTCCTGTTTGTTCGATTCTGAACCGTCAAGTAGCCTTCATATAATTTGCACATCCGTCATCTAATTTTTAAAATTTATCTAAAATTTCTAGCCCTTCCCAATTCATATCTACAACTTCATGATTTGGAGTTTAGATGTTAAACTACTAAAGCTTTGATATTAAACAATTTTTGTTGTAAAAGCTAGAATTAGATTTGCGTCATCCAGTAATTGCAACTAGTGGATATTTAAGAAATAGTTACTACGATTTATAGTTAACTAAAGAATTAATTTCAATAAGTAGCATTTATTTCCGTAAAGTTTACATATTTGAAAGAACTGGATACAATATCATCTAGTGGTACAGAGACATGATGGATCGATAAGAACTCTGCGAAACAATCAATCAATACAAACCAGCGGCAGTTGCGGCATTTGTGGATGAATATAACACATAGGAAGATGCCCGCGTTGATGTAGTAGATGGCATGCTGTTGCTAGCATTACTCCGGTTACTGTTCGGATTTGTATTGGAATTAATAGCGCTTGGTGGCATACATTCAGGATCTCGTATCGAATCTGCCCAGCGATCACCGAGAAATCCGTCTAAAAAATATGATTCCGTCAATAAATTTTGTGGTTCACATCATCGCAAACAACGTATTGCATGTCTCATAGAATTGACAAATGCAAGATTGATCAAAGAAAAGTTGTTGATCTTGACAACTCCAATCGAATAAATTACAGATCCTTTGTTCCCGCTGCTAATATCATTGAATGATATGATTTAAAATTCCAATAAATAAAAAATACTTGGCCGACTTCTGGTCAAAATTCTGGTAAATCAAACATGAGAAAGAGTC